AGACCTCGATTGCTATCAAGTTTTAAAGTTTTTTTAATATTAGATTGCACATCTAAGGCAGATTTGTTTTTTGTTTACTTCATTTACAAGCACCTACCTAGCTTGGGAATTAGGTTCTACCACCTGGACACGTAAAGATAATGTTATGCCTATTCTTGGTATTATGAATAATAGTGAATATTCACATGATGAAATGTAAATATTTTTCTAGTAATCTTAGTGAAAATTTTAATCTAGTTAATAAAATTCTATACGGTCTGGCAAATTTAACGTGTTCTTATTTTGGACCATACTCGGCAAAAATCGATAATTCTTCAATCGGATGAAGAACTGATTCGAATGATATAAAGATTGTGCTTATTTTAATCTAGTACATGCCAAAAGCATTTTAGCCAAGACTTTGCTCAAACTTTGATAAAATGTATCATAATGAATTATAAAATTTAAAGGCGTTTAAAGCGAGATATGGTACAAACTGAAAAGGGTGAAAATTTGCCGGAGCCTTGTAAAATAATTATAATAAATTTTTGATTGAGAAGATATGGAACATATTTTTAATTTTTAGGTTGCTTAAATGGGCAGATTATTCATTTACAAAATCTGTCGTTCACTTCAAACGTGTTGCATTAACAAGCGTTGAATTTGCTTTGTTAATAGCTATTATTTTTACGAAATCGGGTAAAAACTTTAATTTAAATAAGGTTTATAGAAATCGTAGAGCTAAACATGTATTTTCGGCTTCACTCATTTTGATATGTTGTAGGGCTGGGTTCAAATCAGGGCTGGGCTTATTTCACACTTTTGCATTTCATCTTTCGCATTCTCGCATTTTTCAGCGCGAAAAGTTTCGCATTTCGCTTTTTATTTTTAGATTTCGCCCAGCCCTGGTTCAAATCCATGATGGGAACTAAGTTTAATAAGAAGTTTGTCATCAAATAAAAATTTTAAACTTTGATTTTAATTTTAAATTTGTAATTTTAAATATTCTAAACCTGAAAAAACTAAAAATTTTAATTTAGTAATGAGAGCTGTCCAAGACAGCTCTCTCAATTTAGATCTGTCCAAGACTCTTGGTCTTGATACATGACTTTTCTTGCGGGTTTTTCGGTCTTGGTCTTGTGATGTAGTGCGCTTATGTAGTAGTAGTAGTACGACGCAACCCTGATCCTATCATCCGTTATTTTTAAAATTTCAAATTAAATAAACTTTAATTTTTTAAAAAAAAAAGGTGCGAAAAACTTGTCTCCAGAAGGAAAGGAATTACTTTATAACGAATCTGTAAAATACACAAATATTTTACTTCGATATACTCAACGAAGTTTAGGTTTAATTGAAGGGGCTCAAAGATTGGATGAATGTATGCGTTTAATTAATAGAAGTATTGAAAATGAATATACATTTCGTTCAATATATTCTCACCGACAAAAATATTATTCAATGTGTGCAACACACTATAAATGTGCAAACTTTATGACAAAATTTTTAGAAAGAAATGATTAAAAATGAATGATTTTTAAAAATAAAATACTGTATAACTATATCAATTTCCCTTCCTCGATTAATTTCCTCTCTATCAAGAGTAATTATTCAATGAAATACATACGCCTATTTTTTTGTGTAATTTGTAAAATATTTTTCAGATTTTTAACTTTTCTAAAATGGTTTTTTCTTTTGTCTTAATCATAAACAACACTTTTTTCTTTTTAATATAAAGTATTTAGTGGTCTGGAATTTTTAACCAGCATTTATTTTATCCAATCTGTTGTCGCGAAATGTCGCGAAGTCGGAAATACAAACTTTTTATTTTTCCTATAATTTTTATTTATTTTCCAGAAACATTTATTTCTGTTTATACTTTTTATCTAATTAAATCTAAAGAATTTTCCCAGCCTTTTCTAAACGCTTAAACTTTAGCCTTTATCCTTTTTATGTACATTTTTCTTTGTATATATGCTTATTCCTTTTTCCCATTTTCGTTCAGTTGTCATTATTCTTTTTTCTATGACCGATCCGTTTAAATGGTTTTTTCCGATCAGTTTTTCTAATCAATTTGTACATTATTCTTCTTAAGCCTTCCTTATTACTTTGCTTCACATTAGCAATATTTAGCCTTTCTTACTTTAATATTTGTCCGCAAGAGTTGGTTTATAGATTCTAGAGCGTGCGAGACCAAAATTTTCCCGAACTTAAGACCAAGATTAGACTCTTTTTCCTCTCTTTCCTTTGACTGGATGACAGCTTGTCGCGCTTTTTTGGGGCTTAATTCATGAAAAGGTCGGCGCAATGAGCTCACCAGAAAGAACTCGATGAGCCGAGTCGAATGACACCAAAATCAGCTCTATATGATGATTCTGAACAAAATTATAACAAATTTAATCCGGTGGAAAAATTGTGCTACTACAGCGGGTATCGAACGAGCGACAAGAGTTGTTTTTAGTGAGATTCGAATGTACTCCCACGAATTTTATTCATTATATTAAGTAGAAAAAATTTTCACTCAAAAATTTTTTGATTTTATCAATATAGTAACCCGAATTCGAACCTATTTGGTCAAAATTCGGACCTATTTTGGACTTTTTTGGATTTTTTCGAATCTATTTTGCTACTTTAAAAACCTAAAATAGGAAACTATTTCTCACTTTTTCGGACCTAAAATGTCGGACTCTATTTATTATAAGAATAATATACACAATAAATAAGAATAAATACACATTTATGCAGAAATTGGAGTAATTTGATTTATATTATTGTTATTAATGACTTTTGGAATAACAATTACTGGAGTTGTTGTATTATTAAATATTTTTTGAAAAAATGTTTTGATTAAATTAAATTCTTTTAAATAAGCTTCTCTGTAGTCAGAACTTTAAATTAAAAATATATTTTGGTTTTTGATGGAAATAAAATTTTTGTGGATAGTTTTAGAGTATAATATCGAGTAAGAACATGACTCTGTTTCCAAGGTTTGGAAAATTCTGTTAGTTATTAGGCTATTGGAAAAGTAAAGCAGCTGGGCTATAGCTATTTCTCTCCTTTAGCTAGTGCAAAAGGTTAATCGGCGGCTGGGAGCGAACCAGCATCTTCAGTAGACCGGACTGATGTGTTAGCCATTACACCACGCTGCCTACTGCACAGCCTTAGGAATTAAATAGCAAAATGCTTTACAGAAGCTTTAAAATAAAATTATATTTTGGCATAATTAAGTTTTTCTAGATTTTCAAGTTTTAAGGAATATTATGGGATCCATAACATTTTTTGTATTTAAGGCATAAAGCATCAAATTTAAGGCATCAAAGTTTTTTTTGTAAATTTACCTATTAATAAATAAAATTGGAACATTTGCAGCTAAACCGCATATGTTAATAACAGCTAAATATGTTAATATCAACCAAAAATGAACACTAATAATTTCATGATTTTTTAACGCATCTCCAGCAATAATTAGATTTATTATTGCATAAATTAATACCAATCCAATATTTATAAAAACTATTAAAGACAGAGAACGGTAAAGCTTTTTCATTGTTGGAGTGTTTAAATCTGGAAATTTAATGCTTAAAAATTATTTTAAAAATAAAAACTTAAATTTTATTGAATCAGATTTTAAATTAGTTAAAATTTTAATTAGTAGTTTAAATTAGTCGACGGATGCAAAGCAAGGCTGGGCAAATTATAAAATAAAAAGCACAATGCGGATTTTTAAACTTTTTGCGCTAAAAATGTGTCATACTCCCTCTCTGTCGGATTTATCCCCGTTAGTTAGATTTCAAATTTTAAAATAACCTGTTTTGTATTTAGTTAAAATTGCAATAATTAAATAAATTAGCGCAGTTATAGAAAAAATTATTAATGGAATATTAGAATATATTGGATTAATTGAAGAAAGAAACAATACAATGTCTAATGGATGCCCAGTCACTAATACATTTTTATATTCAAATATTGGCATAATAAAAATCAAAATGATTGTTATATTAAAAATAATTAATGTTGTTAAATGTCCCATAATATATAATCTTTTGTTTAAGTTCATATAACTAAAAATATATGTTAAAATTAATTTAACCACCTTATTTATAATTTAGGTACACCTTCATTGTTAAGTTTGGTATGCCATTAGGAAATAAAAATACGAACATAACGGCGGGAATTTTTGCAAAATTTTTTAAAATTTTGTAGGATTTTGGTTAAATTTTTGAATTTTTATTTTTTTAAAATATTGGCTCTATTAAACAATATACGTCCGATCGACTTTTAAACGTGATTTGTGCATCAACCCCAATACTATTCGAAGTCTAGTTGCAGATATTCAAATTCTTGTTGCAGTTATTTAGAGTTTGGCTTTTTTTACTAGCACCGCGGGCAAAAATTTTGCAAATTTAAAAAGATTAGTAAGTTTAAAACTTACAATATTGGAAAGGAAACAGCAAATAAACGATCAAAACATATTATTATATACATAAAATATATAGAAAGATATGTACTATTTATGTAAATAACATAAAATTTTGCAAACCAAATTGGAAGAAAATTTTGTCCAATAGATACTCTTACAAAATAAACTAATCGCAGTGTAAAATTGAAAATTTCAATAGTAGCATAAATAAACAGTAGAGTACTTGTAGGGCTTTTTATCGTTTGATATTTTTTTCTTAAATTTAATAAAATTTAATTAGTCCACTCCACTTTTTTTATTTAAATCAAAACACAAGTTAATAAATCAGTATGTTTAATACTATACTTTTCTTTTTTATTTCAAGTCAAATCGGAGCAATTAATTTTATCAGGTTATGTTATCTCAATCTCATTATAGTGATATAGAGGGATTAGATGTGATTAAAAGGGTATTTACGATTGAAAGTGATTTAGAGTGATGTTATTGAGACTCTGATAGTCTGATACCGATTTTATAATATCGAAATTTGCAGAATACCCAACCAATAATTCTGAGTTCTCTGTCACGATCAGAAAATACCGAATTTAATTATATCGAATATAATTTACCTATATTTAATAATAATATAACAAAGACTAGAATTTGATATAATTATGAATATAGAAACTAATGTAGTAGGTAGAGCATTGAAAAATAGTTCAGGAGCAAACCCTTTTTCATTGTATGTTGAATAAATTGGCTTAAATTTTTTTATTTTATATAAAATTAAGTATTAAAACTAACGCTATAGAAACTTTTGTTTTCCTCCATGTTTGATGGAATTTTAATAAAAATATTTTTTGATGTAGTGCAGTATACCGGAGGCAAAATTTTAGTGCTGCGAGGGAATTAAAATTTATTGAGACTCGAGAGCCGAGATCGAGACCGTGAATTAGGTCCCAGACCGAACGAGAAATCGGGACATAAAAAACGAGGAAGTTCTAGGATTGAGACTCGAAATATTGTTAAAATTTATGTAAAAATTCGGACTTATCAAAAAGTTTTAACATTTGATCACTCTCTCCCTCCAGTGTCCGAGTGGAAATTAAATAGATAATACTATCTCTTGAAATTTAGGATCAAGAGGGGACTAAGTGGAATATCAAGGGATTAAGCGGGTTTGAGTGGATTACTTGATATTCATCTAATTTATCTGCGCCGCAGGTGAAAATTTTAAAAATTTTGTAAAAAAATTTTTCTGAATTTAGATATTCAAAAAATATTATTTACTTTTTCAAATAAAAATATTTTAATATGTAATAATTTATTTTGCAAAGGAAAAACAGTCATTTACTCATTAATTGTTAATGGTTCGAAGCTCAAACGTTTTCCTAGCTCGAACATACAAACATGACACACTATCCATTCGACGACCTGCAAAACACAAGAAATTTCTCGATTCGAGAACCAAAACTGAGTCAAACGGTAATACTGGTTAGATGCGGAAATGCCTGTGGGCCAAGATATGTGTCCCAGAAAATCGGAAAACCATAGAGGGGAGTAAACGAATTTTTTGGAGAAGAATTCGAATCTACAAATAATAGCTTATTCGATTCAGCTTCTAGAGACGAATCGAATATTATTTGTTTTATATCAAAATTTTGCCTCCGGTATTTAATTTTAATTACTTTAATTTAATTATTTTAATAATTAATTTTAATTAATTTAATGTACTTTTTTATAGTTTATTAGTAAAAAGTTTTTAAAACTAATAAATAAAAATGAAAAAAAGTTTTCTGACTTAAAAATTGTATGTACTTTGAGAGTTTCCATGATAATTTTAATAAAACTTGTTTCACAATCTTTCTTGTTTATTTCAACATGTTGCGTGTGAAGGTCTTATGATGAAAATGAATTTTTCTGATTGAATAAAAGGCAAAAATTTAAGAATAAAATTTTGAGAAAATTTTTTGGTGTCATGACAATAGCTTGAAGCGATAGGTTCATATTTGTTTAAAATAACAACTTTATTAAGTAAATTGCAATAAATAGAAATAATTAAAAATGCAGAGTGCGGAAAATTAATTTAAAAGCAATTTTGGTATCAGCAAGTTTGCTAAAGTGTTGGAAAGAAAACAAAAAAAAGAATTATCAATTTTCATTAATTTTGAAGAAAGTTATGACAAAAAGTAAAATTAGCCTTATTTTGCCGCACGCTGTATATTCATCTTGTTAAAAATTATTATTAAGAAACATTCGGACTTTAAAAATATTTTTCATTATAAAAATAAAATAATAAATATTAAAATATATTTAAAAAATTTTACTAATAAAATCATTTTTGCATAAAAGAGAAGGTATTATTTAGAGATCGGACTGGGAGTGTCGTACGAAAATCGAGATCTCGAAAAATTCCCGATCTGAATAACAAAGATTTTCGTTCGGCATCACGTCTCGGTCCAATCCATAGTATTATGTATTGTCTAGAAATAAAGTAAGTTCTGCTTGAATTTATGAAAACTTGGAGGATGGAACGCATTTGAGTTCCCTCTCCGCTAGCAAAAAATTAAGTATGTAGAATTCAAGACAATTCAAATCTATTCAAAATCTCCAAAGGATATACAATATACCGTTAAAATGTAAAGAAAAAAATAAAAGATGTAAGTCAATATAATGTGTTTGAATATTTTTGGGGTGCATAATGTCAATAAAAATAAAAAAAAGTAAAATAAAACTTGTCTAAGTTTTAAAAACTTTAAAATCAATCTAAACTAAAATTTTTTTAATGTTAATAAAAAAGAGGGAAACGAAAAATACAAATTTATGTAGCAGTCTTGGTACTATCTTTTCTTCCGACACTTAAATAAAAACTACACACACATTTATGCAAATATTGGAATAATTTTATTTATCTTCCTGTTATTAATGTCTTTTGGGATAACAATTACTGGAGTTGATGAATTAATAAATATTTTTTGAAAAAATGTTTTAATTGAATTAAATTCTTTTATCTGTAGTCTCTGTAGTCTTAAGCGTCTCTGTAGTCTTATCTAATTTTACGAATTTTACACCCCTTTCAGTTAGTCTGATTTTTAGACAGTTAGTTTTTATTTTTCATTCCAAAGATTCATATTTTCTTTTTAATTTTCTTAAGTTCTAAATTTTTGAGTTTCTTATACATTTTCGCATGGTCGGATAATTTTAGCCCTTGAAAATAATGCTACATACCCAAAGCTTATTAACTTAATAATTCAATATAACATTACTTAATAAAATATTAACATACATAAATATTTCAATAAAATTAAAATTTTTCAGTTAATCTAAATCCCCCAAAATCATCTCCACCACTCCCCCTCAACCAAAATTAACAATTGTTATACAGGGATTCACAACAGCAGCACTTCTATATCAATTAAGGCATAGCAATAGTATGCAATACAGGGTGGGGCAAAAGTTCTGGAGCAAAAAGTATGCCGAATCCGATACGCAACATCGGAGGAACTAATGTTGTTTTGGAGCGAGCCTAGAACGAAATAACCGATGAACAATGCGCGACCATTGTGAGTAACATCCGTAAGTGTTTGGATGCGTGTATTTCAGTCAGGGTCGGTCATTTTGAGAAATTACTTTAATAATAATTTTTTACAATAGATTTTATTAAAAACATTTGTCGCCGAACTTTTGCCCCACCCTGTATACAACAACAATTATCAAACTCATGTTATGCAACAACAAACACATGTTAAGTGCTCTATAGATCAGAAGCTTTTTTACAATAATTGTTTTTTCCATAAGAAAAAATGATTAAAAAACATAACCATCTAAAGTATTAAGGCTTTATTTAAAAATAAAAGAGTGCCGCAATCATAAAATTACATCATATGAAAAGTACATAATTTTGTAAACTAAAAGTGCAAAATATTTAGCAAAACACCTGACTAATTATTTTAAAATAATAGCTTTTGATTCATGTCAATGTATTTTTCATGTGAATTTAATGAAAGAAAAATATTTCTCAATATTATAAATGTTAAACTAAAACAAATAAAGTTAATTATAAAAACAGACCATTCAAAAGCTTTAATTTAAAAAGAATTTTTTTCACTAAACAAAATTAAAAAAATATAATTTTTGTTAAATGTTTTTTATTAAATTTTTATTTTTTTATAAAATATTATTTTTAATATTTACTTTTTGTTTTTCTGATTATAAAAATAATCAACAAATTTTGGTCGAATCGACGGAAAATAACAAAAATGAGGATAAAAGTTTTAAAATAAAATTATTAAAAATGGAATTGTATGAAATGAGAGAAGAATGGAAAGTATATAAAATTAAAATTTTACTTGAAGTTAATGAAAAAAATTTAAACAATAAATTTTTTGTAAATCCGAAAATGTATGGGTGCGAGTTATCTGAAACTGTTTCAACAAATGTTGTAAAGGTTATTAATACAAATGGAGATAGGAACAAATTAATATTAATTGGGAAAGATATTTTTGGAAGATACGGACTGGGAATTAAAATTTGTTTAGAATATTTGAATAACAATAATATAAACACTCGAAAGGTAACTAAGTTTAAAATTATTTTTATTGTGGAAAAATTTTAGAATACATTACATATCAGGAATGGGCCGTGTTGAGATAAAAGTCGGGTCGAGTTTTAAAATTTTCTTTGTATCGGATATATAGTCCATATCAAAACAAACTGCTACAGATTTCTTCCCTTTTCAGACCCGCAGGCAAAAATTTTAATGTTCAAAATAAAAATATTTTTATTTCAATTAGCCCTGGTTATGCGTAACGGGTTTCCCTGATACATATAGTGAATGATTTCTAGAAATCGGCCTGAATCTGAACCCTTGATTTTTCATGATTTCAAGTCTAGCAAGGCATTTTTCACGGTTACTTGATTTTTCCTTGGCTCAAGGTCAAGAATCAGGTTAGTAATTTCTAGAGTTCGAACCCGGGCCGGGCCCGGACCGGTTTTTTCCGGGCCCGGTGGCCGGAACCGGGTATTTTTGAGAAATCCGGTTTTACCGGGCTAACCGGTTTTTCATGTTTTATCCGGAAAAACCGAATTTAAAAAGAAATAGGTCCGGGTGCGATTTTGAGAAATAAAGGGTCCCAAGCCCGGCATTTTGAAAAGTTCGAACTCTAGTAATTTCCTATTAAAATTATGGTTTTTTAAATTTCTTAACTCCAGTATTTTTAGGAGTTAATGACATTGCTACCTGTATTTAAAGCACAAATCGAGTTAGACGCAAATCAATTATCATTTGATGAAATTCCAAGTGCTCATTATTTCAATATTAAATATATTGACATAAAAGGGGTGAAAACAAAATTACAAAGAAAATTTAAAAAGAAATATGAATTGTCAAGATTAATATGTTTCTTGAATCTGGAGGAACCTAGAAAAATTTCTAGAAAAGATAATTTTAGCAAAGTTAATTTCATTGAGCTATTTTCACTAAATAGTAATAAATATAAAAATGAAATGGAATATTCTCACATTGAAATTTGTGTAAAATTTGAAAATCCAGGCAATTATTTTGTAGTTATTGCGCACCCATTCATTGACGGTTTTATACAATTCTACGTTAAAATTAAAAAAGAAAATGAGGAAAAATGTATGTTTAAACTTTTAAAGAAAACAGAAGCTTTGCAGAAAAAAGTATTGAAAAACTTAAGAAGTTACATATCAATTTGCGTAACAAAAACAGAAATTGATGACATTGAAGATGGAGAAATGAATGTTTACCATGGAAGTCCATTAAATAGTCATAAAATATGTGATAATATTGGTTCAATTAATCCATATCTAAATGAAATGATTTATGAATTTTATTTAGACAAGGAAGGAATAACAAGTGAAGTTAAAAGAATGGGTGATTCGAATAACCAAATAATAAATTTTAATAATTAAAGAAAACATGTATTTAATGTTATAACAAAAATGGAAAATTTA